CCACCATCTTTTGCAAGGCCCATCGTAACCGGCGTCATTCTCGTCATTCTCGTCATCATCACCACAGGTCTCTCTTCTCCAATTCCTGTACCCGCAATTGGCATCCACTAACACCACTCCTGACTCCATCATCATCACCACGATCATCATGAACGTGGTCATCGCAACGTCATCTTCGAGGACCTCATCATCACCGTCACATCTTGCAGCTGTTCATACCATCTATACACTGGTTGAGCTTGATCATCATCGCCAGCAGCAGCAGCAGCAGCACCAGCGGCAGAGACGCAGAGAAGCAGAGAAGCAGAGACGCAGAGAAGCAGAGAAGCAGAGAAGCAGAACAGCAGAGAAGCCGGAACAGGAGCAGCATCAACCCCAACGATCATCATCACCTTAACTACACCGCCAACGTCAGCAGCAGCAGCAGGAGTAGGAGGAATTACCACCATCACTGTCACTACTGATTGTGCTTTTCTTAGCCTTCAGTCCTTTTGTCCCTTCGTTTTCTTATTTTTCCGTCTTCTTCTCATTCGTTCTCGTCATCGCCGTGAACGAGACACACAAGCTTCGTTTTTGGGATTGGCGATGGCCAATAGCATACAACGAACGCTAAGCAGCACGACGACGACAAGAAGAGACCAAGATAGCAGAAGAAAGAAAGGAGAAGGGGTGGCAGGGAGAAGGAAAAGAGGAAAGGACAAGAAAAAGGGACACCAAGATACAGTAAGAGAGAAAGTGGGGGAGGGACAAGATGCAAAAGAGAGAGAGAGAGAGAGAGAGAGAGAGAGAGAGAGAGAGAGAGAGAGAGAGAGAGAGAGAGGCATTATGAGATAAGAGAGACCGAGAGGGAGGGAGGAAGATGAGAGAAGAAAGAGAGGGAGACGACGAGAGAAAGAGACCAAGAGAGAAGGGGGAGGCCGAAGATGAGAGGGAAAGAGAGACAAACAGAGAGGGGGGGGAGGAAGAGAAACGTAGAACGAACGTGACAAAGGGAAGGGGAGATGGGAAGACGGCAAGAGCGAGAAGAGCTTAGGTGACAGAGAGATTCTGGTAATAAGAGACGCAAAACGGCGGATGCAGGAACAACGGAGAAGGTCCGGAGGACAGACAGGGCTTAGATTGACGGGAGTTGGTAGAACGGAGGGAGTCTTCACCACCTCCCCTACGGATAGACAACTGATCCCCCCCAACCCCCCCGATTGATTGAGTTTCCTTCTTACCAGCGGCATCGTAAGATTGTCCTTCGCTGCTTATCCCCCTGCCTTCCGCCGCGTGGCGCGCTCCAGCACGCTCGCTCCTCTCCGCATCCGCTCCTGACAAGGTCGCGTTGGCGCTGCAAATGTGAAAACCTTGGCTTGGCGGGAAAAATGAACGGAAGGAGGGGAGGAGGGGAGGAGGGAGGCGTGTTTAGACAGTGCAGCTCGTGCGATATCCGCAGTAAAGAAGGGCCTCCACTGATCTGCTGGTCCATCGGCCTGCAGCGGTGGGTTACCAGTATTTTCAAAAGCCTGCGACCGGTAGCCCGCTCATCTTTCCCCACACGTTCAAGGCGAACCACCGTCCGGTTTATGGCCGGTGGCCTACCGGTCCCCCGCAAATACCCTCAAGCCCACCTTCGTTTTTGCCCACCACTTCGGTCTGCAACAAGTTCCAAAAGAAGTTCACCCGCCTCTTTGCGGACGCGATTCGCCCAAAAAAACGTACGTACGGAAATCGGGTTTGTTTGTTTTTCCTTTGTTTTTCCCAATAGAACAGACGCTCGATATAACTACGTAAGTTGTATTCGAATACAGCATACGTATGTTCTATTCGAATTTTTGGAATTTCGATTTTCCAAAAATAATCAGAAATTTTCAAAAATCCGAAAAAAACAAATGTTGTACAACAATGCAACACAAACAACTTTGGCCTGGGACCATGTCCCACTAACTTCGGGACCTTGTGCCACTTGCGCCATTTAGTTGAGGCAGCTCCACGGTGCCACAGCTAAATTTTTATTATTATTATTTTTTTATTTTTTATTTTTTTTTAAAACGGTCCATTATTTCCAGAACAAAGAGTTGAGGCCGGGGACCTCACAATTCAACCCGGAGCTATCCTGGCAGCCTCAGCCAGTTTCGCTTACAGTTCGGCAGAACCAGAACCAATTACATTGCCAATTTTTTTTATTTTTATGTTTTTAAGTTCAAAAACTACCAACTTTCCAGATTCCTATCCTTGGGTCACAGCTTGAAGAAATACAAAATATTGAAGAGGCGGTGCTGCTATTGCCTACACCCTGCCAACGTGAACTCTTTGTAACTGCTTGAAGCCTCACATTCAGCGGCTATCCGGACTGCAGGTCTATAACTCAGGTTCTTGGACTTGCTGTTCTTTTGAAACGACAGGATTGAGTAGTTTCAACCACGTTGCTCAGAGTCTGACTAGTTAATCCTTTGAACCTTTCCCTGCCTGACTTACCCATGGGACTAACGCGGCCCATCAGGCTAAGTCTTAACCTATTGGCACTCTCCTAACGGCCCACTGCGGCCCTAGCAGGGACCGAGTGTCCTGGTCCCAAGAACTGAGTGACCTAGTTCCGAGTCTAGTCTAGCCTGATGCTAATACTGCCCATTGTTCCTAGGTTAGAAAGCCGCATCTCTGCCCACTCTCAGAGGGGGAACCTCTAGTACCCATTTTGACAACATTAAGCCTTTCCTAGAGTGTACCGCTGTTGATGGTTCTTTGCCCAAGTTCGGAGGAACCGTCCACCGCAGCTGGCGTCGACTGCCCTTTTCGGATTTGGCCCTTCTCCTCCAGCCCGTCCAGATAGCGTGCTTCAATCCCTGTTTCATGTGTTTAACTTCCAAGTCTGAGAACGGGCGTCCCTGGAATCTCGATCTGTTCCTGTCTGACCAGATGGTTTCGCAGATTAGGCCTCTTACCACATGAGCGATGTAGCCCCATCCACGATGTGCTACGACATTTGTTGGGAGGAAGCCCAACAACACCCACCTCTGAGAGAAGGTTAACAACAGTTGTATTTTTCATCACCACTTCACGATGCAGCCTACCTGAACAAATGGTTTTCATGGTCTTCGGACCTTTCACCTCTTCAAGATCATTCAGGTCTGAAAATCATGAATGGTCCTGAAGTGGTGAAAGCTCCGAGGACCCTGAAAAACACTTGTTTAGGCAGGTTGCATCTTCAAGTGGTGAAGGGTGGTTTTCATGGTCTTCGGATTTTTCACCACTTCAGGACCATTCAAGATTTTCAAACTGCCCAAAACTCTCACTTGACCACTTCGGGACACCCTTCACCACTTCAGGATGCAGCCTGCCTAAACAGGTGGTTTTCAGGGTCTTCGGACCTTTCACCACTTCAGGACCATTCAGGATTTTCAGACTGCCCAAAACTCTCACTTCAGAATTTCATTCTTGAATTTTCAGCTACCCGATAACCGCTTGTGCCACCTCTCATTCCACTCGACGTCTTCGCCCCCGAGCTCCCTCCAATGGTGGGCCCACCAGTTCCAGATACATTTGGAGGTTGGGCATTCCCACCATAAGTGTCTGGTGGACTCGAAAGGCCAGCTACACCTTGTGTAGGCTAGGCTCAACTCCATACCTCTGCTTGCCAACCAGACCGCCGAAGGGGTTACCATTAGGGACAACATCCATAGCAGGCTGACTTGCTTTCCATTCGGTAGGGAGGTGAGGGTTTCCCAAAGCTTATCGAAATTAGACGCTGTGTCCGATAGATCTTTGACCCAGACGTCCTGCCATCGGGGGATCGCTACTTGTGCTGACGTTTTTAGCTTGTTGGCGTATTGGTTATACCCCACTGAGATCGAAAAATTTTGTAGGCTCAGGGCACTCTCCTCCTTTGATGACGGTGACCAACTTCATACGGCAGGGTCTATACATAGTTGTCTGAGCGACCGTTTGCCCACCTAAGTGTAACTGCGGACTGAGGATCTTCGACTTCGGGTTGCCAAGACTCGGGCTTGTGAGGGGTTATCCCATAGCATTATCGTGCCTTTCACCATCAGTGTCAGAATGTTATCCGGACCTTCACACTTCCAACGTTTGATGCACCCGAAACCGCTGGGAAGTATCTCTGCGAGTTTCCACAACATTCCCTCCTCGCCTGCTTGGTTCGGTACGTACCACGTTCCTGCTGGGTCCGTCCTTTCCGGTCCCAAGATGGCTAACTATTCTTAGGGGATGGAGTTGATCAAAAGTCTCCAGTGTTCCTCGGTCCTCTGCGAACCCCTTAGTATGATCTTTATTTCGACCATTGGTTTCCATCCGCCCAGAGTGGAGGACCACAGGTATGAGATCCGCATCACCCCCCTCCGGACCCAGACCTGACCAAAGGTTCTTCCGCAGCCATTAGCTAGAAACGACTGCCCTTCTTGACCCAGCACTGATGGGTTTTCAAACAGCAGCTGGTTTAGTAATTCCTTTTTTGTGCTCGGGGGGGTTTGCTTGTCCGGAGGTACTTGGTTCCACGCCTGGCGAATCGGTTCCCAGAATTTGGATTTGAGTCTCTTCTTTCGAAAGGAAGGCATGAAGAAGCACGCCCAGACGTTTTGTGGCCTGCTCAGTTTTCAGTCCCTCATCAGGATTCGTTCAACCACTGTCACTCAGTGCTCCCGGGTTTTCATAGTGGCTACTTTGGTCAGCCAATTACGCAGTTGAGCCTGATTCCTTCGGACAAGGTCCAACAATCCCATATCTCCTTTGGGCCGAGGAAATGTGAGTGTATCCCACGCTACTTTGGACAGGAACCCTTTAGATGTCTGGGCCCGGGGCTTCCACAGGAAGTGCGCTACCAGCCGCTGTACCGCCCTGATCACTCCATCCGCTAACCCCCTTACTATTGATACAAACCAGAGGATTGAAAATAAGGTTATGTTGACTACCAACGCATGACCTACTAGGGACAAATGCCAAGTGTTCCCCCACAGATTCAGTCGTGCAGATATGCGTTGTTGCAGCAAAAGGTCTTGGGATGATTTCTTGATTTGCAGGCTGATCAGTACTCTTAAGAATCTCTCCGAAGGGGGGCTAGTGGACAGCCTTGGCGAAGCGACCTTGAGAGCACGAAGGAGTCTAACAGGTGGTCATTGACCATCACCGCTGAGGTTGAGAAGGTATACATGGCTTTTATCCAGGCGCAGAAGCCTTCGCCAAACCCCATCCTCCTCAATGTGGTGAAGACAAAAGTCCATCTCACCTTGTCGTAAGCCTTTTCCAGGTTGAGGAGGAGGACGACCATGTCGAGGCTTTCTTCCTGCACCATTTCCAGGGTCTCGATCGTTGTCACTATGTTGTTGAAGATCGATCTTCCTTGTACGAACGCGCCCTGGTCTCCTTCCACCAACTTAGGCAAGTGCTTCGCTAAACAGTGTGTCAAGGCCTTTGCAAGGATTTTGTATGACACGTTGAGGAGGGAAATGGGGCGCCAGTTACGGATGTCCGTTTTGTCTCCCTTCTTGAAAAGTAACACTATCACCCCATGTGTCATACCTTTCCCTAGCCTGCCTCCCACCAGGATCTCATTGTAAAGCTCCATTAGGCGGGGTCCGAAGACCGTCCAGTGCGAAGCGTAAAACTCCACTGTCACCCCAGGGGATTTCCCCTTGGCCATGGTTTTGACAATTTATGTTAACTCTTCTAATGCAAAAGGTCCGTCCAGATCTAGTCTTTCGTGATCTGCAACTGCGTCGTTGTGTCCTCCCACATATCTGAGTTCCTCGAGAGGTCCGTGTTCACATCCTCTCCTGGTCTTCTGGTGCACAGTATGTCTTCGTAGTATAGCCTGGCGTCGTGAAGCATGCCTGACGTTGTGCGTGCTTGAGGGGAGGCAACATCAAACGGATGCCTTAGTTCTACCATTTGATGCTGAACCCGTCTTGGCTGTAGTCTTTGGAATGTCTCCTTGGACATTTTGTCGCATGCCTCAATTCCCTTTATCTTCAGAATTTATGTCAACTTTTTCTATTTTTCCTCTTGAATGCTGTCTCACTTCCCCATCCGCCTTTGTCTCTCTGTGACCCACACCATAGCTGAGATTGGGTGGCCCTCTATGCGCTCTTTCGCGTTCTCCACCCTCTTTCTGCAGTGTGCCTCTCTTTTATTCCTTTCCCTTGCTAAGATTCTTGATATGACATCCAATACCCCTGAGGTGATTGCGATGCCCCCATCCAGCCACTCCGCTGTGGAGTCAAAGTGTTGTCTCGCGCTCTCCAGCCTGCCATGTGTTTTGCTACCCAGTCCGACACCCCTGGTTCCTCCAAGACTTGGT